AGTGGAGAAAACATTGCATAGCTCTGGGGCGCCTGTCACTTCATTGAAGTTCACAATCTTTAAATGGTACCTGCCAGTTCACACACCTACTTCCCTTATTCAGGCTAAGTGTAATATATTAACATCAATGACAATTATCTTCATGGCTCAAGGTTTGTTTTTCTGCAATTCTTTTCAATGTCTTCATTCAAAGCAGCTGCACACTGGGAGCATTTGTAAATCTTTGCTCTAAGTGCCTCAATACATTGACAAACTGAATAATTCAAGAAAAATGTTGTCAATTCTTATGTTCAGAACATAAAAGCATGCTCACAATGGAGCAACACCTAATGGATGGTGAGCAAACTTGTCAGCCAGGAAAAGCCTGGTAATCGCTGACCTTTCCACAAGCTTCAGCCATCAGCAAACAATGAGAGCTGGGTACTTATATGTACTGTAAAAGATAATCGACAACAAGGCAACTATCTAGAGGTTTGAACACAAAAAATAAAACTCAACAATTCTTCTTTCACCAACAGCTTGGCCAGGATTCACCGTTTAGAACTTCTTCTCTGAAATTATCTATTGGGACGGCATCACTCAATGTACATTATGTGTACCCCATCTCATTAGATATATAAGATGTTATCTAATCAAAACAAAAGTGAAAAAAGACAATGGACAACAAACAATAACGCAATAAAAATAATGTGTTTTTTTTTTTTTTTTTTTTTTTTTTAAAAAGCCAGGTTATAAAAGGGTGAGTTTGGACACGATTCAGCCATTCTTACACAGTGAAGCTAAATACTTCAGAGGTTAGAATGGAATGGAATGGGGACACTGTACAACTAGACCAGGGCAATAGGCACTGACTGACTGACTTAGTGAGTTCCTTCTAATAAAATATGTCTTCCTACGAACAATGACACAGGGTAAGCCAGGAGGAGCTAGATTGTAGACAAGGCCTGTCTTTCACTTTGTGTGCATCTTCTCCACTTCTTATCTAGGTAATCTGTTATCCATAAATAACTATGAAATCTAGATCTATGAACCCAAAGAGCTCCTTAAAATCAAGTCAGCTCAGTCAGCTAATGTATTTTTATGATTACAAGACAAGCTGCCACTATTGAAAAAATGATATGTGCATCCACAAATATCACAGATGTGTCCTGTTTATGACAACATAGCAGATTATTGTAAACATTTCTTTCATCTCTGCAGATATGTCACTCCTACATCTCTCGCCCTCTCCTCTCTACCTGTCTCCTCCTGTCATATATTTTCTGCACTTCTCGAAACAGTGAAAATGATTGAAACCAAGAAATGTGCGTCTGGAGGTACTCTCCACAGTCAGCATAAACATTCCTGCCACAACAACTCACACCCCCATTGCTCTCTCCACAGATTTGTAAAGTACCGTAAAATATTATTTGAAAGTCTTAACAGACACAGATGTAGCCCCATACAGTGATGAGCAGGGCTGCCCCCCAATACTTGACCAAACATAAGTAGAGTTTTGGTTGGTTGGCTGCTGGCAGGTGGAAAAAAAAAACTCCACACGAAGTGGCAAAAGTCACTCACGAACAGACATTGTTTATGCAGCTGGTCCCTGAGGTTATTAGATAATAATGCATCTTGGGTTCACATGACTGGGCATATTTAGTAATAAAATAATAAACAGGAAATAGACATATTACAATGAACAGCAACAACAACTTAGTTATCTTTACTAGCACGAGCGGGACTTCAAGAACAACATCCTTATGGCAACTCTTCAGGGAAATGCTAGCTCAAATATGGAAACAGATGGTAAACACAGTCTGTTACAGTAATTGCACATATTGGGCAGGAAATTTAAAGGGGGGGGGGGGATCATTTAAAGAGGGTAAAAGATTCCCTCAAGAAGGCGACATGCAAATATTGTCCTGTCATTCGTCGAACTCAAACATGGCTTATCATTTCAAATACACAAGTAGCCTTACGTTAGCCACTTACTCATTACTCATTACTTACTTAAAAGGCTCATTATAAAGGTTTTGTATTTCTCTGTGTATGTCCTCTATGTAGCACAGTGTTAGCAATGTTCCTTAAAACATCCTTTCTCAGCCCTGGACTCAAAAATATTTCTGATGTCCCCCAAAAATATGCACTTAAATATAGGGATGCCCCGATTGATTGGCCAGCGATCATTATGGGCCGCTTCATTAAAAAATACGTGACAGGTAGATCGGAATTAATGCTCACCTTTAAACTGATCACCTGTGGTTAATACTCTGGTGTCTGCGGCTGAGAGAAGCACCGTGTGCTGTGTAGTGTAATCCCACCACCCACCTTGTAATATCATAACCGTACAACGGATAGTCGACTAGAGGCTGAGTCCTCCTCTCTCATCTTTGTCTGCTTTTATGTGCTGGACGTCTCAGCCCTGTGCGTGGTGCGCGCAGTCTTGGAGTCCAAACTGGAACAGAGTGACTCTCTCTCCTGGGGGTTGGTTGAACACTAGATAAGCTTGTCTGGCAATACGGGAGCTAGCACATCCCATAGTGAGACATCAAATGGATTATTACTGGAAAATTACTTCCATTATTACTTGAATTTTAGGTTATTTACATAACCCCAGTTCTTTGAGTAATATGTATGAGATGTCTAACCATCTGTTGGACGGACACGTTCACCGGCCAATCAGGATAGGCGTAATGAGATAAGTGCTTCTGAGGGTCGCAGTGAGGCGTGCTCCCATAGTGAGACATCTCACTCATATTACTCAAAGAACTGGGGTTATGTAAATAACCTAAAGTTTATTATGTATTCTTCATGTTCTGTGTTTGATATTGGGAATCTTTTGGGAGTTGAACGGTGGGGACTTTGAATAAAACCCTGACCTTGACAGACTTGAAATACAATTAGTCCAGAGTCTTTCGTGACTGGCAAAAGCTTAAACTTTATTTTTCCCGGGAGAGAAGCATATCTTCCTGCCTTTCTTCCAACATTTCACTATTGCACAGACAAAGTGTCCATCATCTTTACTTGTGTAACAGCAGGGAAGGAGAAATTGAATGTGTTGAGACTAAATGTGCAGACAGACGGGCAATTAGCGGTTGCTTTCTCCAAGGTCTACAAAATTTATATGTCAAGCATAACAGAAAACTAACAAGAGGTATATTCTGTCTGGAACAAAACCATGATGAAAAGGGGTCACTGAGATGTTTGCACAAAAAATAATAAACCTAGCAACAGACTTATTCTGTCAATCCAATTATCTGTCTGCCATTCAAAAATAGCAGTGCTTGGTTTAGCAACATTACTTGATGTGGGTTTAATCAAGTGTAATGAGCATGTAGATGGTGCATTTTATTTGGTTTTATTTGGAACAAAGTAAATTTAGACTGACAGCAGTCTCAAATCCTTGTCACAAGGATCATCACCCTGCCAAACATCTTTTCAATAGTTATATTTTATCAGAACCATTCACAAAAAATCTAATAGAAAAACGGAAAATGCATCATCTCGCTAGCAAAATGTCTTTATCACATGATATGACGAATCTGTGCAAGCAGTTTAGTAAGACCCGTAATTATGTTTCATCGTTAGGCGACCCCTAGCGGATGTAGTAATTGTGACTGGAGTGAAGGAGGACGTTGTATAAAGAGTGATTAAGTCTGCTTTAGGAAATTGGGGTGGATGGATGGGTGTTTGTTTCTTGTGTGAGACTGATTATCCACGTGTATATTATTATAACCATGACCAAGAAGGTCCAAAACCTTAACCACCTATTAATTATTGTTACCATTATGACAAAGGTATGGCACACCTGCCACTACAGTCCTATGGGTTGTATCCAAAGGAAGGGACAAGCATTCGCATTTTCTTTGTGTAGATTTGACAAGCAAGATTTAGTAGACCTTATTGAATTAGATTTTAAAAGACAGTAATGATGATCTGAAACTTTTCAGATTTAAAATGGAAACAATTCTCCTACCATGCCTTAAACTGCTTTTCATACATACAGTATGAGCTGTGAGACTGTGAATCATACTGGCATGCTAAGTGAGGCTTGTAGTCAGTAGTACAAAGAAAGAAAACACAGAGATCCTTACAATAGTTTGCATCACTTAGCAACTTGGCCTTGACACTGTTGTGACTATGTATGAAAATAACCAAACATGCTTGACTGGTAAATCCGATAAGCCAATTAAGGAAGTAACAGTGAACAACTTGTCGACATTCACTAACAATAAATCCGCCGCAGATAATTTCATAAGACTTTTTCCTCAAACCCGCCAAAGCTCAGTTGTCCTGTCAAAACTCATTAGACTCCCCCATTGGCTAATATATTTACGCCCTTTTCTGCCCTCCTGATAAACATACACATGATCCATTGTGACAGCATAATAAAACACAGGCAAAAAAGGTTGCAATTAGATTTATAATCTATGGAAATGAGCAATTAATGCTTGGTAGGAAGCTGTGATTCTGACTTTTAATCAGGTCAGTGTTTTCTGTGCCCATAAACTTGATGGTCCCTCATGAATAATACATGCTCTGTTAACGTTGATGTTCCTATCACCCAACATAATGATATGGCTGAGTACAATGGATCACATTATACCTGATAGTTCATGCATCACAATGCTATTGATAATGTTATTGTGGCCAGACCACAGCACTGGTAGCTCTACTATAGCCTTAATGAATTTAACAGACAGTTAGACAGTTGCAGTCTATGATTAGCACCACCAGAGGTAGACTTGATCCTTACAAATAGTAACAAAATCTGGCTGCCAGAACCTCTAAAGCACATTATATGATTTGTTTAATCCATAAATGAATTAAAGTGTAAAAATTAGATAAAGTGGTATCGATCTTCTCTTCTAACTCTGGACAAGTAAGCATATTTCAGAAATTGTCAAAATATACGCTCAAGTAGGCTTTAGCTGGGAGAAGGCCAAATTGAATGACCGAGAAAAAGTGTCTTTGTGTTAAGTGATTGGACAAAAGATAAATGAGAAACAAAACAATACCTTCAGAGCTGACACAGGTCACATTCTGCACCGCAGTTCCAGGACCACAGGAGCCCTTATTGGGAATGCAACTTCCCTCTTGTTGGACCTGCCACAAGTAGCAGGTGGGATCCTCACAGGGGACGGACTCTACCAGGTGAGGACAGGTCTCTGGAGAACTGCTGGACTCCCACAACACCTTTCTCTTCCTCTGTCTGAAACCTGACAGAAGTCAAGGGGGGGGGGGGCATAAAAGGTTGTCAGAGAAGCTATTGATATTCCTTTACAAAACAGTAATCATGTTTTCTCACACAAATGATACACACCTCTTCTCAGCCAAACACTAGAATAGAGCATTGAGATTTGTGTTACCACTGTCAAACTCATAGCAGAAAGGTTTGTTTGAATTCAGGCCTCAGTGCGGTCCTTGTATGTGTACAGATCCCCAGGTTATAGCTGCTGCAATAAACTTAGACCTGAAGGTCTGACAGATGTGGACTTTAACTCGATATTATCTGTGTGATGAATTATTTAGGTCTCATTAGCTATGCCATGATGAGCCACAGAACCTCCCAATAAAAGCTATAATGTCTCACTGATAACCATGAAAAGTAAAGGGGGAGCAGAGAAAACTAAAGATATAGTTTTGTTCTAATTCTCTTTTGGTATAACAACAGTTTGGAAATAAAATTATATTAGTTATAGGTATGTTCTAAATTAAAGTGCTTTTTGTTATTCATCTGTGAACTTACCTTTTTTTAGAAATCCAGTTAGGAGTTAATGAGATTCTGTATCTTGTAATGAAGGAGCAAGTGCTACTGTACATGTATTTTTGAGACTCAATTTCAGCACCAGGAGCTGCCCACAGTATCTTAAATAGCTTGGTGCTGAGAGACACCTAGAATCTGTTTTCAAGACTCTTTCCACATGAAAAGTATAGATGACAGCCAAATTGATATAGAGAGGAGATCTTGAATTTGATTTTCACCTTGGTAAATGGCTATATTTGTCCGACTAGGTGGAAACTGTCAACTCAAACCCTTCTCATTCCCATCACTTTTTCCCTATCCAGTCTGGTTTCAAACTGATTACCATCACCTGGTTTATTATGCGCCAGCTCCCTCCACACTCATATTTCCCAGCCAACTAAGTTTCAGTGGTATGATCAATGTGTATGTTACTTTGGCATAATCACTGTCACAGTCAATTTTACCAAAAAATTAACCAGACTCTTAAAAGGATTTCATGGATGCATCCAAAAGTTGTTGCTTCCTGCTGCAAGGAGATGCTATTACAGTAGTGGTGTACAGTAAACATGGTGTTCATCACATGAGCTGGAGAATTAGCAGAAAATGTAAATGAGTTGCTGAATATTCCAGTTCATCTAAGTAACTAAACTAGGTAACTAATAAGAAAAAATGTTCGACCTAAAACACATTCATATTACGAATTAAGAAAAAAATTGTTCAACTGCAAATTTTAACCATTAAGTTTTGTTTACTCCATTTTCGTCCAATTTTTTAATCTTTAAAAACAAACAATGCATCTTAAATAAACTCTTTCTTTGTTATAACAAAGAAAAAAAAAACACTAAAAATAATATGTGTATCAATTGAGGTTTTCAGGACCCAAACACAGACACAGGCTGATAGGTGCAATGAAAATACTTAAATAACTAAAATGTCCAAGACTTACAAGCTGGCAGAAGCACTGGGAGGAAACCCCAAGAAACAACAGGAAGCACGGAGGCCCAAACACAGGAACAAAACTAGAAAATCCAAACTGAGGTAGCAGTAGGAAATACAATCTGAAGCAGGAAGCATCAGATTAACTGACAGAGTTTGTCTGATACGACCTGGTGAAGGGAAGACCGCAGGACACAGCTGAAACTAGCAAGCAATCACACAGGCGGGATAAAAAAAACAAGAACAGGAAGTCAAATTAAAACAATAACACACAAGAAAGGACATTACAAAATAAAACAGCTAGGACAAACAAAGAGCGGCTGAATGGGGCAGATGATGACCACGTGCACATATATCATTTAGTGGAGAGACAATTTGATTTTAAAAAATGACAAATGAGAAGGTGTTTCATCAAAAGTGTTAATGATTGGGATCAAGTAATAGCAGTTGGCAACACTTTCACAGTGACACCTGTCACTCCAATTACTGACTCTCAACTGTCTTTTCACTGCTGTTGCTCACTCTGTTACTAAAATTGGGCCTACCGGCTGAGGTGTACTGGCTCCGCTCTGACACCTGCTTAATACCTCTGTAGGAGTGCAAATTAAATCAGTAAGAACTGAAGATAGACATAAGATTTCTCATATGATGTAATATAGTCACACAAATTAATCATATCTGAAGGTAAAGCTTCGACCTAAAGAAATCCTTCTCTCAGATGTTAAGCAGGAAAAACCATGAGTGACTAGTAGTGTACTAAAAATAATTAAAAAAATTTTAAAAAAGTAAAGCAAACCTGTGTAGCTTTGCCTCTCAACCTAGCCATTATGTCAAGGTTCTTAAAGTTAAAAGCTAGCGGGGAGGAAAAGGGTACGGCAGATAAGGGAATAGCATGTGACAAAGGTCTCCTGTCAGATTAAAACTGGGGACGCCACAGTTACATGTGCTAGGTGTCTAGATGTCACATGAGGAGATATTTACTGGGCCTACTGCAAGTCACTGTCACGGATACAAAACTTTGGGTTAGTGCAATTTTTTTCTATCTCGCAGGATAAAACTACAGATGCAAATTAACCCGGCTGCAGTTTATCAGATTTGCTTTAAGTCTGTCTTAAAGTAATAGTCGAGAGCTCATATGAATATTCAAACAGGTTTCACTCCACTGATCTCTTTGCACAGAACAATGAGTCTGAATTTTGTACCCCATGTTTTACAATGGAGGCACATTATGAAGGATCTTTTAATAACTAGTATATACAGGAGAATGATTACGGAAAGCAAGACCTGTTTAAATCTTCATAAGGACACCTGGCTATTGTTTTAAGAAAAGTATTGAACCTATCCTTAAATTTATCCAATCTGATGCTGCATAGCAAGACACTTTTGCAAAAATACATGGAAGAGTTTTCTGCTGCTGATCTTGAAGTACTGGTTAAAGAGAAAACTTTTTAGAACTGTAATCATATTTTGCACCGATGTGTGAGGACCTAAAAACGTTGTTGTCAGCTCAACAAAAACATCAGTGAAATAAAAAGGCCTCCTGGAGATATGAAAAATCAATGTGGGAGACTTTTTGACTAAATTCTAGCTGTAAGTAGATAAAATAAATATATAAATATTTATAAGTATTTAATTGGCTGATTCAATCATATCGCCACAGTGGAACAACTGTGAGCTACTGACAGTCAGGAAATCTACACGTTCAAGCAGGAACAAACGGAGGCAGTAGATGAAAATGTGTGGAGACCTTACATGTATCATACAATTGTCAGATAATTTTATATCATCTGACAAATCACACTGACTTATCTAGGTATCTCTCTCTCTCTCTCTCTCTCTCTCTCTCTCTCTCTATCTCTCTCTCCCTCCCTATGTTCAGTGGAAATAAAGATATGAAATTAAATTTCAGACAGAATTTCCTCTGGGGCAGTTGGTAATGATAAATCAGATGCAGCGGCTTTTAATATAAATTTCTTGTCCCCTCTCTTATATGTTGTACCTTAAGTACTTATTGGAGTTTTTAGAGGTGCCCCTTCCACTTTACCCCAACAAAACCTCAGTCTGGGCCTTTAGTATATGTGTGTCCATATTGTTGGTATGTTCTGTTTTTAATAGACAAAAATGACAATGGTAGTGAGATTGAAAAGGAGACATGAACAACATGACATGAACAATAAATGGCTCTAAAGATGGTTTAAATGTGTGATTAGCAAATTGTCCATTCACATGATCAACATTTTGACATAATTTCCTAATCAATAACCTAATTGACTCATAATTTGATTCATATTCCGCACTCTTGAACATTGATTCTCTCAAAGCTGAAATTTTAATAAAACATTTATTTCTTCATTAAAAGGATCTCACTGAGTAGACTCCTCCTGTTCTAATCTACAGTCTCTAGTGACTACTGAGCTCTTCCAGTTCTCTGATGATACCAAAAAAAAAAAAAAAGTTCAGGTAGATGAAAGACGATAGAATAAAAATGCTTTCTAGGCTCAAGCGCCTCTTCCAGTAAATTTCCACGACACCTGAGCAGTAGCAGCGTTTCATACTCATTTTACCACAGCTCTTACACTTGGCAGAAAGGTCCTATATTCTTTCCCTCCACAGGTGGAACTGTCTAACCCCAGGATGCCCACTCCACAGATTACATCCCCTGGCCAGCTACTGGTGTGAGGCACCAGTTCAGGAGCCTGATCTGAGCGGTGCCACCAGAGTGTCCTCGAAAGAGTAGAGACTGTGGATCGATTGCAGTACTGCCCAGAGCACTTAGTGCTGCTCACATCCAACCATGAAAAAACAATTTGGCACGGGCATGCCCCCATGGATATTAATAATTGAAAGGTTTCTTGGTCATACCAGGTTTATGTCAGGGAAACAAGGGCTACAAGGGCTATCCAGTGATTTTCTCCCTACTGTTGTTCAGAAATATCCCTCCCTTCAGCAGGATGACTTCGACTAGAGGCATTACAAAAATTCTATCCAGTCACCTCCCGTGTTCAATTCATTTTTCCACATAGCTGCAAAATGTGATAGGCCAAGATAACATGCAAAAATGTGAAAAGCACATAAAGCCACTCTGAGGCAATTTAAATTTGTAATTTTCTAGAGAGCAAAGCTGGGGCAGCAAAAGCACTTTGGCTGGTTGGCTCCTCCACCTGAAAAATGGGCTCCCGTGGGCCTTTCGGTTAGATTCCGATGTTGTGAAACATAAAGGCTAAGTGCACATTCAATAGGAACAAGAAATTCTCTGCAGCTCAAGGACCACAGGCAAACGACTTGGATCATAACAATACTCTACTACTCAATAACTGTTCATTGCTTCCCAGGCAGCGGAGCTCACTGCGAGTGATTTTCTATCGGTTTCATACTCTATTTGCTGTGGGCTCTGGCTCTTTATGAATGCCATCAAAAGACAGTATGCCACAAGAGACCCCTGTGCAAAACAGCAGATGCTGTGTTTTCCACTCCTTGAAATATATTAATGACACTGTCTGTGAGAGGAGCCGGCTCATCCGAGAGATCCAGTGTTGGCGAGTGTGGGCACTGACCTGAACAATCCACCCTTCAGTCGCTCCCCGGGGCGCTTTCATGCACATTTACTCATGGCAGGGATGAGGTCACGCTGCCCTTTTAGCACAGCGCTAACACACTAACAGCTCCACCACTGCAATCACACTGACTGAGAGACACACACACACACACACACACACACACACCAACACACACTACACTCCACGTGCAGTGTGTAGCCTTTCCAAAGCAGTCAGATATGACACACGCTCACCTGTGCAAAATGACAAGAACATTCAGACAGCACAAGCGTGCAGAATACTTGAGCACACCTACTTGCACACACCACACATACACACACAGACAGGATGCATCTTATCTGCTGATACTCCTATCACCCTCCTGGGGACCGAAAGCAGGAGTACAGGTGTGCTCTCTTTCTGTCTTTCGTCTGCTCCGGTTTATACGTGTACTGCCTCCTTTCAGAGCGCACTTCCTCTCAGCCAGCAGCTTATCAACAAACAATTTACGATTCAAACATATTCTGTCTCTCTCTCCTGTTCCGACAACATCGCTCTCTTGCACTGTCATCCTCTCTCTTAGCCTCTGTCAGACACAATACTTCTCTCTCTTTCAGTGTTGCCAAAGCACAGCACAGTCTATTGTTTAGACATACAAATAAACATGGTGCAGTGCTAAATTAAAAACATGTAAATGGGTAATAGCTTCCAGGTTAATGCAAAGTCCCTTGTTGACCTTGTTGGAGGTGCTCAGCTCTAAGGCAAAGATTGCTGTGAACAGCCGATTGTAAATGTATAAAATGGCTATCTGCATGGCACTCAACAATGCTTATGATCTCAGCACTGGCCGATCTGTGCTATTATCAGTTTCTATTTTAAGTCACATCAGCCTGTTAACTAGCTATCTGTTGTATCTTTTTGGACATCTGTTCCCATTCCTCTGTCCGTCCACCTGTCAAACGTGGATCTGAGAGAACATTAATTTGCCTTTGAAGACAGCTGGAGGGATGATGCATGTTGGAACAATTTTCTCACACAAACACACCAACCCACTTTTGATAAGGTTGTTATCACCTTGTTATCATCTTATCTGTACACAAGCTAGCTGGTGTTAACTGTGGTCAGTGGTTTCATCTTTACATTAAAACCATTTACTTTACTACTTGAGCCTGCTGGAAGGTGTTACTTCACACAGTAACAACACACAGCAGTCAGGATGCATTTCACACACTGAAATGTGGAGTATGTTCTGTGGACGCTGGGTGGATGTTTGTCTGCAATGTACTGGATTATTTTACTGTAACTAAAGATTTGACATCTCCTTTTAGACTGTAATAAGTAGTTATATCTGTGGCTCAACTGGTGGAGCTTAGGCTCGGTCCTTACCGCAGAGGCCATGGGTTCGAGTCCGACCCAAATTAAAATTAACTGACTACAGCAGTCACCGTTTCACACCTCCATGTCACACCCTTTTTTCCTATATTCTTTAGTCATTATTTACAATATTGTAATTTTTCAAGTTCAACCTTACCGTGGCACCAGACGTCGTTGCTGGGAGGTGAAAACATTAGACCATCTATATCATGAGTAGAATAATATCTTTGGAAAACATGTTCTATACATCCTGGCATAATGACAACTGTCTACAACGACAAAACACTAAACTTTACTTTAATTATTAATCTTTTTACTCCGCCGTACCTTTCTTCCCCTGTGGTTCTCTGCAGTTGTCATGTAGGCAGGCACCCCAGGTTGACCAATGGGAGAGCAGGCAGTGGTTCTGGCAGGGGATGGAGCAGTTCTGGACAGCCGATGGGGGCTCTTCACCAGCACACAGCCTGGCATTCACAGGCCTGGATACTGAGCAAACAAAAAGAATGCAGGCAAGGATAAACCATGTTAAAGTCAAGCTCAGACACACACAGGCAGCAGTGGAGAGAGTGTGTGTGCGTATGTTTGTGAGATTGCTGTCATTTAATATGTATCTTTTGACTTGGATTCCAAATAGATGTATGTGCTAGATGTTGTGAGGAGAGTGAGGAAGATGAAGAAGCATCACTGTCATCCGACTGAAAAGTATGGATGTCATTTAGTTCTGATTGGGAAGACAGTAGCATATACAGTATATTAGTAAATGCTACGGCTGCAGATCTTGTACACTGTGATGAAAAGCAGGGTGGATTTAGCAAAGCTTTTTCTGCAGTAAAATATAAAGGAGAAAATAGAAAGAACAGAGGAAAAATTGTTCTTTTCATCTCATGCTTGGCTCAGGAGAATATTAAATGGAGGGCAGCGGCCAGCTAAGGGAGTAAACAGGAGCTGAAAAAGGAGATATTAAGGCAAGACACGGTACAACCAATTCACTGCTAAGCATGGCTGACATCATTTGTAGATCACAGAGAGCTCTGCCACCTGTAATGGGCTTTGACATTAGTCTCTCACACAGAATAAGAGGGTCTTTTTTTTGCCTGTCCACAACACAGGGATTTGTTCATTCTAATATTCCATTTGGATGCACCTCCGCACATCATTGAGACGCAAATTTCCATTTAAATGAGAGCCCAAAGAGAAATTCACTAAATGTCCATTGTGCTTTTTGTCTTTTTACCAGAAGTAATATACATGGTGTTTGATCTCCTTTGCAAAAATGAGATGTTTGCTTAAACACACTGATAAGGTGCCTGGTGGAGATCTTTGCTGCCTGGATTGTGATTTCTTGTGTTTATCAATGGCATTCCTGCAGTGGACGTCTGACAGGAGAAAATCGTTTTCCACATTACTAAACCAAGAAGCTCTCCAAACTGCGCACATACAGTCACATCTGTTTACATTAGCGAAAGCAGCGTGGGTCACGTCAAGACACATATTACAGCTGACAAATTGATCTTTTATCCTCACATTGACTGGTTCAAAGAGCTGCCTTCATTGATATTCTATACTCAGCTAGAATATTCACTGTCCAAATACACCTCTGATCTTCTATCATGTCTCTGCACACATCTGGAGAGTTAAAAGGGCAACCCACAGCAACTGCCAAAACACCTCAGCTATGAAACGAAGCCACACAGGATCATCAAGTAGACAGTATGACAAAGAAAAAAAAAAAGAAAAAAAATGGACGGAGGCAGGATTATTAGACAGGAAAAAGTGTGATTTGAAGAAGGGGATCTTGTAGCTGAAAGCCATTAAAAACTACCCACTGTGCTTAATTAAAAAGATAAATGAAATACTTGGTATGCATGTTTTTTTTTTGTTTAGTGATGTAGTGATTTTATAAGCCTAATTGAAATTTTGTTAAAGAGTATCATTTTTTAACTGGTTGGAGTACATCAGTAACAATGGTTACCTTGGTGATTCTGGCAAATATAGCTTTTTGCTCTTTCATCTAATCTGTATTAATGAATTTGCAATAAGCAATTAACTTTTGCGTCACGTAAATCCTGGATCCTGAGTTGTTCAGACGGCTTCTGATGCAAACTCTTTAAAGTTTTGAGTACATATCTTTGGCGCTGCTCTCCTGCACTGAGTGATACAAACATTTGTGATTCAACCTGGAGCAAGCTTTTGACAGTTTTTAGGTTTTCTCCTTTATTCTTAAGTTCTAATGTCTACCTTTCCAAAGAAAAACTTCCACTACACAGGAAGTGAGTTACATGCTTCTGACAGTAGGAAAAAGGCTGTGTAGCATGCTGAGTGAACAGTGCCTCCACCCCTGAGCAGAAAGAAGAAAGTGTGGCACATAACAAAACTCAAACTTGGGAAACTCATTCTCAGACTTTGGGCAAATGGCAAATGTTAAGAGGGATTGGTCAAACGTTCACACTGTAAAAAGCTCATTGTGTCCAGCTAGCACATGTTGTTCTGTCAGGGCTGATAGGGTGGGAGGCGGTTGCAACAAGTAATTGTAACTGTCCCCAAGCTAAGCAGCCAAATCACAACAGACCACATTTCAACATTTTTAGTTTAAAATAGACAAAATATGCAGCTAATCAGTGTTGTGCCAGTTCACACTTTAAAAGAACTAGCTCAAAGTTCAGTTCATACAGATGAAAATGAACTAGTTCATGTTTATAGTTCATTTTTTTTCATTTTGAACTGAATATACAGTTCCAAAAATGAACTAGTTCACGTTCATTTTTTCCATTTCTTTTTTAATAAATAAAGGCTGATATTCTTTTTCAATAGAACTTCCTTCTACCCATCCATCACCAGCCCCAATTCATTGCCACTCCCAAACTAAATGAATTATTGTATACCACTGAAGAATCACAGACGCGAGTTACATTTAAAATCCGTATATAAAAATAATCTTCACTTGTTTGTTCATAAAACTGCTTCAAATGCTCGAACAAATTGGCTTCAGCAGTAGTAGATGCGTCTGCACCGTCTGTACTGCTAGCACCAGCCAAGCATGGCCGTGTCTATGGAGACGTTATGCGGCGTGCCGTAAAACTGACATATGAAGTGAGCTAAAACTGTCGTAAAACGTGAGCCATGCTCGGTTGGTCCGGTCCAAATAGCCTCTGAGTAGCTGAGAGAAAAGCAAAAAGTGTTGCAACCGTCCCCAGTCTCCCCTACACAGGGCTGAATGTCATTTGATATTTTTTTGAGACATGCAATACAATACAATTTGTTGGATTCTAAACACAAGCATAAATACAATATTGTTACCTACATAAAACATTATAAATTTTGATTTTTTTTTTTCATTCAAATCGGGAACAATTTGATCAAAAAAATAACTTAAAATACAAAAAGACATTCAATACTTGTTTTTAGTTGAACAGTTCTGGATACTCGCTGCTATAGACATGTATAAGCCTGTAGCAAAAAGACTATTAAAGTGCAACATCTAATAACTAAGAGCATATGTCACTAAAAAATGCACAATAAATACACAGCAGATCAATTACCAAAGTTCAACTAAACTTTCCCTGCTGTGTCGCCCACCTGTATCCCAGCACCTGTGATCTCCTCACGTCTCTGGAGGCATTAGACTGGCTGTTCGCTCTGCCTTTAAGACAAAAACCACAAACACAAGAGGAGCTTCTCTCCCTTTTTGATAAACTACAGTCTTTACATCAACTAACTAACTGTGTTATGCTGCTATGGCACCTGTGTACATTTTATTATAGTGAAAAAAAATCTGCATGACACTAGCACAATGCATAGTAACATAAGTATGATTCCCAGTGGAACAGATGATCAGGTTTCCCTCTGTGTTCAAAGTAAACTAATTCACCCCCTTTAATACTATAGCGGATATGGCATATTTGATATACTTTGTGTTACAGCACTACAAGTCTGCATCAGCCATATTTATCAACCTTATAAAACCATTTTACCATTTTTTATTTTTACTACGTTTTTTTTTTTTTTTTTTTGAAAATACCCATTCTCTCTTACAACCCAGGCCAAGCACAATTACACAGTTGCTTGTACAATATAATGCCATCCTAGATGTTACTGTGACCACCCCCACATTAAAGTGATTTAGCTGGCTCAATATCCGCACTAACATCGGGAGGTAAGCCTGAAAACACTAATGAAAATACTCTTTTAAACTTTGGCTGTAATAACACCAGTCTTTGTGTGCATTCTGAGATCATCCTTGTGTAACAACAGTGGCAGAGGTTAGGAATTATCAGCCACTGTATCTGCACTGTGGAGTTTTTAATGACGATTATAAGAATGTATAAACTAGGACTATTGTGCCAAGCTAGTTCCTGATTACCAAAGCCCACTAGGGAGCTGTCTGTCCCTTTCTCCTGATGAATATGTTAATGTGTGCATATGCTTTGACTGGGAGCACATACATGGTGGACAGACAGTAATGGCCTTGCCTAGAAGTAGTATTAGCGGTCACAGTGGTTTTTCTTCTACAGTGCACACACAAATGGGTGTTTTCACACAGATTCCAAATGTTCCTGTTACCTAAAAAGAAAAATAGAATTTGAAAAAAAAAAAAATCTTCCATATTAGAAGTAGAATGATGGTTATGGCTACACTGATAGATCACCTTTATCCACAAGTTTTACAACTTGTCTTTCATTTTCACACACACACACACACAGTAACTGACAGCAAGGCACCGGTCCATCATTCAGTGTCTTGCTCAATAACTGACATTTGGACAGGAGGAGCTGGGGATCGAACCAACAACCCAGTGATTGGTGGACAACCGGCTTTACCTGCTGAGCCAAAGCTGTGCCCACTATTCCACTTCTTTACAATAAATAATCATCATTCAATAACCACTAGTTTTGGTTTTATTCTATTGTTCTATCCCTTTTAAACCTGAGCAGGTCATTCACAATTTCTCTTGGTCACCGATGCAAACACACACATCAAGAGCGGCGAAGCTGCTGTGCTCATCTGGAAAAGTTTGGGCTTCGATAACTTCCTCTGTTATTTCCTAATGTGAACTTTATTGCCTCACAAGGCTGCTGGCATGGCTATAGATCTTAAGTCTTGTTAAGTTTCACAGGATTTGTGATTTGTGTGTTCATGAAGAGGTGTGTTTTCTGTAGTTTTACCGAGCAGTCCATCTATGGAGGTATGAATGTCAGTCTAGCGCTAAAGTTTAGAGAGGATTTGGACAGCCTCTCTTCAACTCCAACATGGATAAACTTTCTGTTTTGTTAACTAAGCACACCACACCTGTGTATTGAAATACAGGCAAATTGTTTAAAACTGCTGCCTATGTAGTTCTTTGCTGCTCTGTGGTTTGTCAGCTTTCCACATGGAAGAAATGTACATTTTATATGAATCTGACTTAGCAAATTCTACAACTGAAAATAATACTAACAAAAAGTCAGATGTATACAAGTCCTTAAAATGAAAAACATTACACCTTTAGAGATAAAATTATCTATTTCACATGCGGGGTTATGGGTCCCTGTTGTTGAAAAAAAACCTTGGCTACACCATACTGTAGCTCAAGAAAACACAGTTCGAATAAGACGATAATCCCTATTGTCCTCTGCACTAAAAACAAGGTTTTAGCTTGATTTTTTTTTTTCATACCCACGTAACCAAAATAACCAAAATACTGTGCTAGTATCTTTCACATTAATGATTTATGCTCATAGCTTATAGCAAAACACACCACTGAGTTTATTCTGAATTTATTTATGGTGTATCCCTTGAGTCACCGTGGGTTATCAGCAAGCCCTGGGTCAACTATGATGAAGAAGTTTTTTTCTTACCTTCTTTCCTGTGATGTGGTGCTGAGACATCAGGGACTTGAACACAGTAGGTCTTCCTGGTCTGGATGCCCTCTCCACACAGTATACTGATGTTAGCCAGCCGCCGGTCCTGCTGGCTCAGTAAAGGGAGGATGCGACATTCGCCCCAGTCAGTGATCCTCCAGAGATACCTTACAGAGCACAAAGACATGCAAACATGTTTTGTAGGAAATGAACATGTTAGATGTGATGTGAACAAGCTAACTGTGGTTAAATGGAGGAAGCATGCTTGAGCATTGTTCTCATGTATCTTCAGAAAGAAAGCTGCCATCCATTCAGAAACAAACTGATAAATGATTGTATTTAAAAAGGTTAGAATGTTATTATACACACAGCATTGCCAGCTGTTTCAAAAAAAAAAAAAAAAGTCTCACAAAGAAAAAGACAGATTAGCGAGAGCAAGAGCCTCTCTAACAGCATGTTGAAAGGAGAGAGGCATGATTATTTTAATTTCAAAACTTCTAAACAAATGTTTGGTTTCAACTATGAAAAATGTAGTGGTGCAGAAAGCAATAATATTTGAGGAGTTTACCAGAACAACAGCCTGTAGTAATCTATCAAATGCTTAATTTCCGTAATGAGTTTTCCCTAATCATGTAAATCCTCTGCTCTCAGGCACTCCATGAAGATTTAGCAAATAAAACAAAATCAACCAGCAGGGAAAATAATTCTCTATTGACTACTTTGTTTACCGCATGTAATATTAGCTAAAGCCTATCTTAACTCAAACAACCCTAAAACAATGAGGCTCTGTCAAACACTGTTTGCCATCCATGTCATGTCCACTGGGTCAGGATCTCTCAATAGCACAAGGTTATTGTAGGTGTCACAAGATAATTGAGGAAATGCCAAAAAATATGCACAAAGTAATTCAGCGGTAGAATCATGAATATTTGCAGCCTCTAGACTTCCTCTCATAATTATTCAGGTGAAAAAGCTCAGAGAAGCAAGATTAATTATTATTCAATCATCATTTGGATTTAGATTTTAACATGTTTTGCATAAACATTTGCATCAGGTGATTACATATTAACAGAGCTTTTGTTTTGGAGGATTGTTGGCTGAAAATAAGATCGGAACCATCACTGTTAAAGAACTACCTGGGGCAGTTTGGAAGTAAATCTCCTATGATGTTGCAAGCTTCTTTTTCCTCAAGGGCAGGACATCGTTTCCCCCCACCGACTGGGATCTGCGTCATGATCCGTGACCGGAGACGGTAACCAGGAGACAGGTCGGCGGACCGGCAGGTTTTAGAGCATGGGCTCCACGATGACCAATCAGATGTCTGACAGTCTTTGGGCATCACACATGCCTGGAAGGTCAGGGGGGAGCTGTCCTTGGTACAGAGACTGCAGATTGAGAAGAAAAATGCTACAATTGTGACACACTGACGAAACTTTATTCCCCAACGTAACATTTTTAACCCCTTCAATAGAGGTGCCACATAGAGAGCGTGTGCAGCAGAAGACTGACAGATGTTAAGTGTGGTTGGGTTTAAACAGATTGGTGGACAGGTGTATATGAAGTAAAAACGGCATCTATAGCTACTCATGGATGTCTTGCTTTCCTGACGAACAAATGACCTTTGCCGCTTCCACTCCTGCTTGACGACATTCAAAGCTACTGTATTATTCATCCAAATGGTAAAGGTCTCAGGACATAAAGTTAACCTTTTATAGAAATGGTACTCAGAGCTGATATTCTCATTTTTAAATATGAAACGAGCACACTAGTCATGTAATCAGAGCTTCCATTGTTTAATTTGGACAGTGTAATTGGTTAGGTTATTAAGATGTGAGTACAATGCTCATTGTAGAATTTTACTTTGTAATTAGGCTGTAATTAGAAAAGCAAAATGAGTCAGAACTCAGGTGGGAAATCCATATTCAAAAGCTCCAATCCCACTTCTTAGTAAATACCATGCTAATCAGGCACTGTACAGTAAATGGTCCCTTCACACTCGGGCCATAAAGCCAGTGAACCTGCCTAGAAGAGGATAATAACATGCAAATATCAAACGCACATCAAGATACCCAGTTTTAAGCTTCTCCAGCTCAAACAGCATGGGACACACAAAGCTCATCATGTAAAACCTGGCACGACACTCGATTCAATACTGTACACGAGTTAAAATCCCAAAAGCTGCCGATGCTTAGCTTTCATCTAGCTGAACACATTTCCAATGAATTGCTCATGACAACAAATATGAAAGCAACGTCGAACGATGAAAATGCTTCATTTCACCAGGATATTATTGATAGGTGGTTTCTGTTACAGTGGCTTCCATGAATAGCAGTCACTGATTGATTTTAACAGTCAGCTAATAGTGTCACTTTACACCAAGTAGATGGCATAGTGGCACTTAGTCAATATAATATACAGTTGCAATGATTTTCTCTCCCCTTGTGGAGAAAGCACAAGATGGAATGTTGTTTATGACTATGTGTAGGTGTGAGCGTGTGAGCGTGTGTGTGTGTCAATGATTTTCTCTCCCCTTGTGGAGAAAGCACAAGATGGAATGTTGTTTATGACTATGTGTAGGTGTGAGCGTGTGAGCGTGTGTGTGTGTGTCTGTGTGTGCTTGCTTTGTGTGTGAGAATGTGCAGAGAAATCCATTCTTATCAAATCCAAATACCAGGGTTAGCTCAAACAGCAGGGACTGGGGGGACAGCAGCACTTGACATTTAACACAATAGCGACTCACCACCATGCCAGTGTGCTAGTGAAACACCAGCTCTCACATAATTTAGCTATAATTGAATAAATAACCACCGTCAATAAAAACCATTGTCGTTCACTGAATACAGCTCCACATGAAAAAACTGTCCCACTGTGATCATGAGGGGGAGTGACCATTGATCATGTCCCTCGCATGTTATGAAACAATTTGAGTGTGGAAGGACCATAAAAACAATCAACTCCATTAGGACTATTTCACCTAACAAACACCCACGTTCAGCTACAGAGCAGTTTTACTGCTTCACCTCATTCGCTACATCAGTGGAAAAAGAACTTAATGGAAGATAAATCCAGTTATCGGGTTTGCAGTCGGTCTGGGGAACAGACCGTCTGCAAACCCGCTCCTCTCCCACAGCCACCTTCCTTTCATTATAATCTTAGACTTATCTTGGACCTTAAGAAATACCCTATTTTTCACTGTGTTTATTTCCCATGTATTCTTTGTAGCTCTGTATGAAAGGTGCGGCGCCCTGCAGTGCTTGTGAATGGCATACCTCAGCATAGCGTTCTTGCCGTCACCCCGTGTGCAGCGGACCTGTCGTGTCTGGTATCCCACCTCCAGTTCCCAGGACATGGGGTATTTGTTGTGCACATGAGCATGGTGGTGGTGGTGGTGGTGGTGGTGGTAGTGGTGGTTGTGATGGGAGTGGCGGTGAGAAGCCAACGTGTGCAACATGACTGTGTTGTTCTCATTGGAGCTGCTGCTGAAGTCCACTGTGGTCCTTCCACTTAACACAGCATCTTTGTGATGGGGCAGTCTGCACTCGCTCCAGGCCCCTACTTTAAGGCTGTACTGGTACTCGCCCTCCCCAGCAGGGCAGTTGATAGGGCTAGAACAAGTCCTAGTCTCGGTCAAGTTGGGGCAGTTTGCCCCCCCATACATTGGTGTGGCCAGGACATGTCGAGTCCGGTGCTGCAGGCCAGCACCGCAGGTTTTGCTGCAACTTGACCAGGAGGTGAAGTCTGACACCACACAGTCCTGGGGGCAGGGGACGAGACAAGCCTGTTCCACAGGCGGTTTCTGAGAAAAGAATTCACATATCCTCGAGGTGACTGTGGTACGGTTTGAAGTGCGTACACAGTGGACTTGGCGCCTCTGGATGCCATGCTGTGCTGTAATGCATTCAGCTGTCCTCAGCTTGAGCTCATTGGAAAAGAAAGGGACAAGAACACAGCCCCCCCAGTCAGACACCTCCCACTCAAAGAGGTCCTGGTGCCAGTCACAGACCTTAAAGCAGTGCCGCTGGCTTTCTGGCTTCTCCGTGTGCTGGCAGTGGGAGTGGTGGCTAGTCCAGCCATCTCTGTGGACACACCATATTGTCCTTGTCTGAATCCCACCAGAACCACACTCATCCCCGATACACTGACCCCACTGACCTGCAACCAAGAAAAGACACATGGAGAGGACAATTTCATTAAAAACTGCAGCTTTAAAAAAAAAAGATGATTTAAATTGCCGCTATCTGGCAGCTTGCAATCAAGCACAATTCAAGGCCATTCACTTAACCTCTGTGATTGCTTTATTCATGAACTGAGGAAGAAAAGAACAAAGAAACCAAAGTAATCAAACCACTGGCTGACATCAATATAAAAAAACACAAGGTTAGTTTCTTGGTTACAAAGGACTAGATTCAATTAGGTTCTTGATCCTAAACTGATCAATATCTTGAGCTATGTTAGGCATGGCCAGCAGATGGATCAGGTATTGAATTCTTTAAATCCGACTTCAGAGCAATATTTGGTTTTTAATTCAAAAAACTCTTATTAATTTTATCTCAATAAAGCCACCTCTTCAACAGTGAAAGCATCCGCTCTGCATAGATGAGACACTGCATATGGACAGTTTTAATAGATCTTCTGAACAAAGACGATGATTTTCATTAAAAATCACCCAAACCAACCAATGACATGAAAGGCATTTTGCTGTGGTGTGACTCCTTGCTCAAAGCGCACTGTGGATTTCAGTTATCTTAATGCGCAGTTAACAATGTTGGCTGGAATAATTCATGACTACAATCAGGGCCTGTCTTCAAAAGAATTTCATCTGGAAATAGGAACTCTCTGTCTGTAAAACAGAAGCGACTTATACTAACACCAAGCTGCACTTTATCGAGTAATTCCCTGCGTACAGGGCAAAAACACAATTTTGCTCTTGTATGTTGATAACTTTATGAACTTCTAACAACACACTTCAAAAAGGTTAACTGGTAAACATATGCTTAATTATGTTTCATATCTCACAAGGCCTGACAGTTGATTCAGTCGAAGCCTGATGGGTCTGTTTGCATAGAGAGAAGTTTAAAAACGGGGTAAGTGTTGAGTTAACAGTCAAGTTGAAGATCTAATCCCCTCTCACACAGCTGCCTCAAAAATACATTTACCTCATAAATAAATTGCCAAGTATTCTGAAATATAACTCTAATGTCTGCTCCAGTTACATTTTATACGTCAAGCACAGAAACACAGATACTGTCGACACACACACACATTATGTTCAGTTATATTGACATTTGAAACTTGGGGCCACACTTCAGTGTAATGCAGCTAAAACTAACTAACCGGCCAAGTTGAGCTCCACTCAAAAAGGTGCAAAATCCTGTTTTCATTCCCCATGAAAATGCTGAATCCAATAAATTTCACAAGCAGTTAAGTTATGAAAGAGAGCGGCAACTTCATTTTTAGGTATTCACCATCGTGCCTGAGTGATGATGTGGTTGATATCCGCAGCATGAGGCAGGGCCGCACTTTACTGTCACTACTCGGTAACATCAAAGTACGTGTGACAAAAGCATAGCAGCTAAAAGTAATTTTCCATTTCTCACAAACACAGAAAAGTAGCAGTACTCTGTGGTCAGAGAGGCAACAAAAATTGCTGATATCTTTTTCCCGCTGTGAAAACTTGCATCTGCTTCAAAATGTACTACTTACATGAATTTGAGCTGACCACAGCCTCCATTTCTGTTAAGACGGGGGGGAGTACAAACTTTTCACAGCCACCTTCAAGCCCACACATGTCGAGGGTTTAGTTCTCAAAACTAAAAAATAAAAAAAGCTACATTTTGAGTTTAGCTGTAGCTAGATATTTAAGATTTGGATGGATCCTAATCAAAGTGGAAAGAAAAATTGAATGTTTTTTACAATACATGTTAAAAATCGACATTTATACGAAGCACAAACACCATTAAAATACAATTAAGGTAGAGCTGTCGATCCCAACACTGACAACATGAGCACAGTGTTGCTTATCGCAGCTTTGTTAACTCGAGGCTGAGGTCTTGGGACTGATGAATGAGGACTTGGAAACTGCAGCTTCACAGATAGCTGGTTGTCATGCATAGACAACCCCCTGCTGCACTGCTTCTTTGATTGCTGTAATTCTTTTATGAAGAGGATTTTTCTCATTGATTATGCATGAGGCACCTGTTGAATAATAATGCACATTTTGCTAAATACTTGCATTAGACTCTAGGTGTAGTTTCTTGATTTAATATGCTCTGAAATCGATACCGCAATGTGCCGTGATCTAGTGATGCACGCTGTTTTAATACCTGGAGAATTTGTAGATTCATATTATTCAAAAAGGCTAATTACTTTTTAACACAATTCTCATTAATTTGTGATTCAGAAGACCCAATGCAAAAACTTATATATGGCCTCTTAATTTAGTTTTTGACCTTTTCATTTTCAAAAGAAGAAGACATAAATCAGAATAGGAAAAAAATGAAATCAATTTGCTGATATGATATGGTTATCTACATCGGTCACGTTTGCTTCTCATCAGCTCCTTTGCCACATGCTATGAAAGGGATAATTTGATTCATTTCTTCTAATTGGAATTAAATTGATGTAATAATGAGATCCTACTGCTTCCTAAATTGCTTTCGAATGACAAGTCGCTGCAAATGTTTTATGCCTTTCGTGCCAGAGAAATCAGTTGTTAACACTTTATTCCCTGGACAGTCTTTGACACGACAATGCTACTTTGAAGCTGTTGCTTTCTGCTTAAGGGGGCATATTTCAAACTGCTGAATTGTTTCACAGTTCATCGAAGCACATCATTGAGTTTATTCATCTTGGCTTTGCGATGTTAATGGGGACTTTCAGTGTTACTAACATCATTATCATTCATTCATGTGATCTTTTTGTCTTATGCGCTTCCTTTTGTTTTTGCGCAGGTACAACGCTGCTGACTGAATATGTGCTATTGATGACAAAGCTCAAAGGTAAGGAATTTACATATTTTATTATTTATTTATTTTCTTTTACATTGGAAAGAAGATGACATGATTTGTCCATTTGGCTGGAACAGACAGGATGTGCAAATACACATACAGAGGCACAATATCAAGAACATGAACGTCTTTGTCTGACACAGAGTGAAACACATTTGGGTTATTACCGGGACTTTTGTTGGTGGGCCACTACTCAAATTGGGCCAATGGCTCATTGAGAAGAATATAAAAAAAACAAAAAAAAAAAAAACATGAATGAGAGAAAAAGAAAGAGAGCGAGAGAGATAGATGTAGCTGTGTGGTTGTGATTGGCCCAGTGGAGCAGGCTGCGCAGCCGTCATCTCCCTCTGGTCTGTCTCCCTCCCCACCGAACTACGTTAGGTTCGGTCCCACAGCTATGACTGAGGCAACCGCGAGGCAGCCAGCTGTGGACTGCTGTTCAATCGCTTTGCATGAATAACAAAGTTTAAAAAAAAAAAAAAACATAGGTGTGCCTCCAAAGATCAGAAAAAAAGAAGTTAAATTCCAGAAAAATCCAAATGCTTCAAATAGTTAGTGCATCCAGCAGCAGTAACTCTGCAGACAAAAGAGACGAGGGGCAGAGCAGCAGAGCGGCTTCAATACAAACACGAGTTTTAGAGCATAAGAGGGAGACAGACGACAACAGAAGCTTCTCTGAGTTTATTTTGGAGGATGATGTTGCAGTTTCATTTTCTGTTCTGCTTACATCAGAAATTCTGATACACTAATTAAAAGTTTGCGTGATCAGCTCAGACCTACACAATGTTATTACATAAGGATCCAGTGAAGGACGAAAAAGTGTCTGGTGCTATATTTACTACTGTACTCTCCAGTCTGAATTCTAATCTCACTCTCTCTATGGCTACTTCTGTGGTTATATAGAGTGGAAAGTGAAAAACAGAAATACAATTTAATATAATGCCAATAGAACACAGTAAACAGAAGCTACTTTACATTACTAATCTTCATTTTGTGTTGATTCCTGTTCGTGTGTCGATTCAGCCAGGTGGTCGTTTAGCTATGTACATAGTGCTCTGTTGACTATGTGATTTTTATTCCCCCAGGTCCACAGTCACACTTTCTCACAAGACGTACATGTTTGGTGCAGACAGCAAAGTCTTTTTTTTCCAATTGCTTTTCAGATGATACCAAACATGACCTTCGCATGACTTGAACTGTATGTTATTTGTTGGTGTGGCTGTACACTCATGTTTTATTCCTTTTTATTGGTTGTTGCCATTACTAACACCAAGGACAACTGCACATAATAATGTAGGGATAATAACCAGGCGTCAACTTGACTGGAGACACAATGAAAGATTCTCAGGGTCAGGGAGGAGCCATTGTTGGTTGGATTGTTTTTTTTTTTTCTGCTTTCTGTTTTCTCTTATTTATTCATTTGTAGGATATACTTTTATTAAGAGGTAAAGTCATTGGCCATTGAAGTCAAACAATGTGAGGTTACAATAACCTTCCTAGCCGGTTATTTCTGATCGGTTACCTTCAAAGCGGCTGCTTTAAACATGAGACCAAACAAAGATAGAAAACACAGGTGCATGCCCAGACTGGAGCAGTGGTCCTTGGGCATGAAGCATTTTGACAACGATCTGTCTGACTTCGCTTATTTAACTTATTTCAGTTTTATGGAACAGTGGACCTTCGCCAGACAATATGCAATTTTAGATGAGGATGGATCCTCTGCACTTCTACACATTCTCACTATAGTAGGTAACACTGACTACCCTGCAGTTCTTCATTCACTATCTTGTATTTCTGAACACATATTTAGGTTGCGCCACGTTGTATTAAACTGAACTAATGTGATATTACTTCAGTTTTCAACTGATAGTTTGAGCTCTGGCTTAAGATGATGTGAACTGGCGGTTTATTTGTTTACAGCCTCAAAGCTACTTGATGCGCTTTGAACTGGAGAGACACCATGTTATCTGAGGAGATCACTCACATCACAAAGCTGTGAAAATATCTATATATACAAATACATTTTAATTAGACTAATTAGACGGTAGATAGTCAGTCAAATCTAATTTGAAAATGTGTAAATCATACACCCAGTTCCAACATTACTGCTGCGTATGTACTTAAAGAGACATTTTCATTTCAATC